GACTTACCTGACAACCGCGACGAAATACCTACACCAGAGGCAGCTTTCCACCACCCCCATCTTGAAGATCTCGCCAAAGAAATACCAGACCTGGACAAAGACGCTCATATCCTCCTGCTTCTCGGCCGCGACATTCTTCGTGCCCACAAAGTGAGAGAGCAGATCAACGGTCCTGGTGATACACCCTTTGCACAAAGACTTGACCTCGGATGGGTGCTAGTGGGTGATGTGTGCTTGGGAAAAGTTCATAAGCCCATGGTCTACAGCTACAAAACAAACATACTTGAGGACGGCAGACCCTCTCTTTTCACGCCATGCGTAAGTCATGTCTATCTCAAAGAAGCAATACGCCCCAGTCTAGCCAACAGACACACTCACGGTTGTTGTAATACGATGGACACTGATTCCCTCGGGCTATCTGTTTTTGCAAGGACAGTTGATGATGACAAACGTGCTCACTCCATAGAAGATAAACAGTTTCTCAAAGTAATGGACAAACAAGTCTTCCAAGACGAATCCAATAGTTGGGTCGCTCCTCTCCCTTTCAAATCTCCCAGACCTCCTTTACCAAACAATCGTAACCAAGCCTTGACACGTCTCTCTTCGCTATTACGCACACTAGAGCGCAAGCCAAAGATGAAAGAACAGTTTGTTGCCTTCATGCAAAAAGTATTCCACAACAACCATGCAGAACTAGCACCTTCACTGCAAGAAGGAAGTGAATGCTGGTATTTACCTTCGTTTGGAGTCTATCACCCCCGAAAGCCTGATCAAATCAGAGTCGTCTTTGACTCCAGCGCTCAATGCAATGGTATATCGCTGAACAACGTCCTGCTCACAGGGCCAGACCTGAATAACAGCCTCTTGGGTGTTCTAATTCGTTTCAGAAGAGAAAGTATCGCCGTTATGGCAGACATCGAACAGATGTTTCATTGTTTCGTTGTAAGGGAAGACCACAGAGACTATTTGCGTTTCCTCTGGTTCCGAGAGAATGATCCAAGCAAAGACATTGTCGAGTACAGGATGAGGGTCCATGTATTCGGCAACAGCCCTTCTCCCGCCGTGGCTACATACTGCCTCAGAAGAGCGGCAAAAGAGGGAGAACAGGAGTACGGTTCAGACACTAAGCACTTTGTGGAGCGTGAGTTCTATGTTGACGACGGGCTCATGTCTACTCCCACAAAGGAAGAAGCGATTACTCTCTTGCAGAAAACCCAAGCATCCCTCGCAGAGTCAAACTTAAGACTCCACAAGATCACTTCTAACAGCATTGAAGTTCTGAAAGCCTTTCCGGCTGGAGATCACGCTAAAGACATTCAAGACCTCTATCTTGGTGCAGAAACGGTAGCTGCACAGCGCAGTCTCGGTTTGAGCTGGGAAGTCAAAACCGACACTTTCACCTTCCAAGTATCTATTAGTGACAAACCGTTTACACGTCGTGGAGTCCTTTCCACTATAAACAGTCTCTTCGACCCGCTCGGTTTTGTCGCTCCTGTCACTGTTCAAGGGAAGTCTCTACTGAGAGAGCTGACATCAGAAGGAACTGAATGGGATGCCCCGCTTCCACAAGACAAACTCAATGTTTGGCAGGCATGGAGAGATTCACTGCAAGAGCTGCAAAATCTTCACATTCCTCGTGCTTACTCAAACACCTCTCCTTCCAAAGCAAAGCATAGAGAAATATGTGTCTTCTCCGACGCATCTACAAAAGCTATCGGTGCAGTGGCCTACCTCAAGACAACAGATCACGATGGGCAAGTTCAGGTCGGCTTCATCTTAGGGAAAGCCAAACTCACGCCTTCAAACGAGCCCACCATACCCAGACTTGAACTTTGTGCGGCAGTGTTGGCTGTAGAGATGGCCGAACTCATTACGCAGGAGATCGACCTCCCTCTGGATGCTGTCACCTTTTATTGTGATAGTAAAGTGGTGCTGGGATATGTACATAATCAGTCAAAACGTTTCTATGTATATGTCCACAACAGGGTCCAAAGAATACGACAGTCCACAGAGCCAAAGCAGTGGCGGTATGTGCCAACGGAACATAACCCAGCCGACCATGCATCCAGGTTTGTTCAAGCCTCGCTTCTCACCAAAACTAACTGGTTTACAGGGCCAGCATTCTTACGAAAGCCCGATCCAGTAAGTGACCAGCACCCCACATTTGAGCTCATTAATCCAGATTCTGACGTGGATATCAGACCACAAGTCACAAGTTGCATAACCAGTCACAGCGACAAGCATCTGGATCCAGAGAAATTTGAAAGATTCTCATCATGGAAATCCCTGCAACGAGCGGTAGCAATCCTCACTCACATGGCTCATTCTTTCACGCCAACAAATAGCACTGGTTGTAAAGGATGGCATCAGTGTCGAAGACCTCAGACCCCTGATGAGTTGTCCAGAGCGACTACAGTGATCCTTTCCGCTGTCCAAAGGGCCTGCTTTCCAGAAGAACTCAACGTTTTTTCAAACGCAGCAGAAGTGAACAAGAAAAGTCCACTATCAAAGCTGAATCCTGTAATTGGTCCAGATGGGTTGTTAAGGATTGGAGGCAGGCTGAAGCAAGCAGATCTCAGCGACCAGGAAAAACATCCAATCATTTTGCCTGGGAAACACCACGTGTCTACTTTGCTCATATGACACTACCATGAGCAGGTTGAACATCAAGGCCGAACCTTTACAGAAGGTGCTGTACGTTCAGCAGGCTTTTGGCTGATAGGCGGGAAGAGACGCATCAGCAGCATTCTTCATGGATGTGTCACTTGTCGAAAACTTTGTGGGAGGAGAGAAAGTCAAAAAATGTCCGACCTGCCCCAAGAACGGTTG